TATGCATCATTGTACTATCATATTACAATGTCACCGAAGATACTTACTATACCAAGTATATAAGTCCAATCGCACGCCAGGAAATGGTATCGTATATGGTACCTCTATGTACTATTATGGTACCTCTTGATATGCTTCATGTTACCATAATATTACAATGTCACTGAAGATACGTAATATACCAAGTTTAAGCCCAATCGAACACCATGTATCGTAATATGGTACTATATTACGGTATCACTTGATATGCTTCATGGTACTATAATCAGTCATGAAAAATACGCAAGTATATATCAAATACCGTATGATACCGAAAAAACGGCGTCCAGTTAGCTGGGAAAAGACGATCGATGACATTTCCCATATAAATTTACACATAAAATGACAGCGATTTTCATTTCATAGCCATCGCTAACGCCGTTTTTTCCCGATCATACGGTATGAACACAATCGAACGTCAGGAAGTGGTGTCATAATAGTAGAATAATACTTATTATATTGTCTCCAAATTACAATCAAAATTCAGGATTCAGTTAGAATCAAACGTCAGGAAGTGATTTTAATTCAGCTCGTAAGATTTAACTCGAACTAACATGGCAAGTTAAATACTTAAACGTTTGAAAAAAGAGCTCTAATGTATTTTAATATGTTTAAATGATGTAGCAAATTTGAAGCTAGGCTTTATCAGGAAATATTACAATATAAATGACACAATGGCAACACTGCATAAAATTCTTTTAAATTACGTTTGTAGAAAACTGTTTTCTTTTAAATTTATCGCCCTCTGTTATGTAGTAGTGAAACTACCACATCAAAATATCTGATTTGGAGACAGGCTTTTAAAGCCTGTCTCCTTTTGAGACCTACGATTTTATACATGTAACGAGGCTTCTGTTGCGTAGCTAGATATTCTGTGCTAAGAGCAATCAGATTTTCATCGATTATTATTTATTTAGTAATGTATATTCAGTAATATTAAAATAGTTGGCAGTACTGTATTATTCAAATAGAAATGTCAATGATTTTGATGTTTATTCACAAAAACAAGAGTGTGAGAAAGGTACTCCAGGAAATACTTGCACTTATTTCTGGGACACCCTGTGTAGAAATATACAGGGTGTCACAGAAATGGTGCAAGTATTTTAAAGCAAAAAATCCAGTGGTTCTCAAAATTTAAGCAAAAAAACATTTTTTGTTTAAATTTTTAAAGTAAAATAACTCGGTTATAAATGGTAAAGAGAAAAATGTTTCTTTTTACCAGATCTACACCTCCCCTTAAAATACTTGCACTTATTTCTGGGACACCCTGTATAGAGGGTGAGTTTTAAATAAGGGCAAATATTTTCAGGGCTTTTAATTCTCGATAAAAGAAATGTATTTTCTCTTTACCATTTTTCAAATAAATCCAAAATATCCGAGTTATTATACTTTGCAAATTTCAAAAAAAAAATATTTTTTTCCTAAAATTTTGAAAACCACTGGATTTTTTCTGGATTTTCTTTCTTGTGAGTGTAATCTACTACCTATGTTGCCATATTATCAAGATATTATGTTTTTTTTTGCTAAAAACTAAAAAAAAATCTAAATTTCTTTACAAAAAATTCAAAATTTCAAAAAAAAATTTAGTCGTGTTTCTGTACTATCCCTAAGACTCACCCTGTATAAAACCATTAATTTTAAATGAATTTTTGTTGTATATTGGATATACCGAAATCGACAAAATATCAAGAGACGGAGTTTTAATCGGCACATGTTTTTTGAAACACCCTGTGTACATAGATAATACAGTAAATTATCACAAATATCACATCTATACTAATATATAAATTCCGTAAGTGACTGACTCACTGATTAATCATAATCCTGCTCAAACCACTCAACGTATGAAGCTCAATTTTGGCATACAGGTTGATTCGAGGGTGTAGAGGTTCGATAAGAAGGGATTTTTCGAAATTCCAGTTCCAAGAGGGTGAAACCACCCCTCAAATAGTACAATATTTTTTATTTAAAAAACGGTCAAGTTTCCGAAAAAACACTTAAACACGTATATTTTATTTTCTTTTTTTACATATTTTAAGATTTTTTAAAAATGTATACAGGGTGTTTCGAAAAATCTGGTCATTGATTAATCACCATCCTGCTTAAAGCGCTTGACGTAAAAAGCTGATTTTTGGAAAACGGATTGACTTTAGGGTGTAGAGGTTCGATAAGAAGGGATTTTTCGAAACTCGAATTCTAAGTTCACCCCCACAGGGTGTTTCATAAAATATCACCATTGAGTAATCACGATTCTGCTTAAACTGCTTGACGTTTAAAGCTGATTTTTGGCAAATGGATTGACTGTGAGGTGTAGAGGTTCGATAAGGGGGGGTTTCTCGAATCTCAAATTCCAAGAGGGTGAAAACGCCCCTCAAGTATTACAATATTTATTATTTAAAAAACGATTAGTCGTTCGGGAAAACACTTGGACACGCATAATTTATTTTTTTACATATTTTGAAATTTTTTAAAAAATCATACAGGGTATTCCAAAAAGTTGGGTAATTCACGATTCTGCTCCAGTTTGCATATTAATGGAAATTCTTGCTTTGCTTTATCATTACCATTAAAAATGATTAATTCGACGCGAACGAAGTCGCGGGTACACGCTAGTAGTTAATAAAAATTTGAGATTAAAAACCCATAATCCAACACAGATTTTATGAATTAAAATTTTATGGACATTGTTCCCCCTGTCTATAATATATCCTCTACTACATCAATGATGACTTTTTAGGACAATTAAAGAAATATTCCCATCCGACTCATTGACAAGAGCTTTAAGTCACAGGAGGGACAATAATAGGTAAATAATAAAGCAATTGCTACATGCGGGTTAAGTCGTTCTTTATTAACTCGATTTATTAGCTAATTCGTTGTACAATTCCTTAATAGTCCGCCCCGACATATACAGGGTGCGACAATTATAAAGTAAACACAATGCGACAAATTAAAGCGACAAGTTAAACACGAGAACATAGAAAAAAAATTGTTTATATTTAATATTTTGTAAAGGGCATAATAGAGGAAGGGCAACTATCGAGAAAAAGTGGTTTTGACGATAAAGTGGTTTTTAAATTCCAGACTTTGTCAAAACATTTCACAGGGTGTTCCCCAACCTTTCGCGAAATTACCAACATTTTGTTTTCCCTGGTAGAATAGACAGATGGGGAATTTAATTTTTAATTTGAAAATCGTCTAAAAAGTCAAATAATATAACTACAAATTGTTTAAAATATCGTCAAAATCGATTCGCTAGAACAAAATATATTTTTTTCCATAGCAACTGTCAAAATTGCCTTATATCTATCAAAAATAGTAGATAAAATAGTTCTTAAGCGCAAGGATAGATTAAATCGTCCTATTGCTGCCAAAAGTCATAGTATTTTGAAGCGGAGAATCGATTGAAAAAGTCATTAACTACGATTTCTGGCTGTTTATGTTGTATTTTAATACCGAATAGTTACTAACTATAACATTTTTATGCAATGCAATTCATCTTTAGACGCGTTTTTCTCGGAAGTAATAAAAAGTAAGTTAGTGACTTTTGGCAGCAATGGGACGAAATGATACTTTAACAGCGAGGATAGGTTAAAAACTTTATTTCTTCTGTCACGTTTTTTAATTGCTTCCATTTTTGAAATTTTTGTATTCCTTTTCATAAGTTATTCGGGATTTAAATGGAAGTAGTTTGGATGTGGCGTTTGTCGCCTCAGCCTGAATATCTGTTGGTAATTTACTTATTTCGTTTTGAGCCATTTCTGGCTCCAACTCAATCAGCAATCGACACGAAAGAGAATTAAAAAATATTGACTCAAAACTGACAACTAAAGAGACAGCATTATTTATTTGTCAAATTACATAGAAACCAAGGCCAACCCAGCACAATATTTTTTCTACTCGTAATAAATTCCTTGAAATAATAATTTCTGAATAATCTTTAAAACGTAACTCGCTATGGAAAAAAATATTGTTTTATACACGACGATAAAATTGCATTATCGTCTTGTATAAAAAATAACTATAAATGAATATTTGTTAATCTAGTTTTTAAGCATACCATTCTACAAATACTAAGGGCTGGCAAAGGTTAGTCTTGGGTCAAGATTTCCGTATGTAAGAAGAGTACAATGCGTTTATAATGTACTGAACAAAGAGAGGACAGTAAAGACGTTGCCAAACTATGAAATAAACCGAGAAACTGTGCACATCACTAAGAGACGTGGAAGGGGATATAGCAGATTTGTCGCAGTTGACCGGTCGACCCAATCAATATCTCTGTCAGTACTTAAAGTTCTAGGGAAAGGTGTACGTCATGCGTTCAGCTTCACGATGTAATTACGTCTCGTGATACTTAATTTGTTTATTTATTAACGGGTCGTTGTAATTTTCCCTATAGCTTGAATTTTTTTAAGTGCAAGCTAGAAACACTTGCATTTTTGGTAAAAATAAGTGGAATTGAGTGGGTGTTCGATAGTGGTCGCGCTATTAGAACTCTGAATTCAAAAATCGATATCTCGAACTCTACATTAGAAATAATAGATTGTAGTTTTTTCAAGAACTTTGTTAATATTTCTGCTGTATTTTCTTTGTAGACAGTATGTGAAAATCTTTATCAATAAAAAAATGACACGATTGCTGAAATTGCTCGTTACGTTTTCTCGTTATAAAAAAATGACACCCTAACGATATCCTTATAATTCCATTTCAGATGCCCAGAAACATGTTTAATGATTTTATCTAGTTATCTCTTGCAATAAAAGTCTTTTAAAAATAAGCGGGTTGCGATCGTGATTTTACTTTACTTGATAGGGAAAGGGGTATCGGCAACGCCGCAACAGCACACCGTCGCGCGTCGCGTCGGTCGGTCGCATTTCTCTCACTCCGACTTAATAAGATCCCTATGCGATTTACTTCCACACATGTAAATGCCGACCCAAAAGTAACAGTTGCCAGCACGGTATATATTGTAATCATCATATAGTTATTATAATTTTTACTAATGCCTCTAAATTATAAACTAAACAAAAAATATCAACCAAATAAATATATACAGAGTGATCCAGCAGAACATTAATAATCGATAAAAAAAACTGTTTTAAAGCGTTTCTCAATCGAGCTTTGACGTTCAGTTACTATAAACTGGATCAACCACTATACTTACAACATTCTAGAATGGGAATATGCATACTATATAAATATATACTAATAAGGAATACAAAATATATCACCCTATATCTAAAGTAAAAAGTACCATATACATCTGACAAAAATACATTTCATATTCGATTTGGCTATAGATTATTTTTGTGACAGCTGATTTCTTTTCAAATTTAATAAAATTCATATCAATAAAGATCCACCAAAAACCTTTTAAAAACTTCTTAGTATTATGGATTAAACATCATGGGATCGAAAAATGAACAACGTCATAGTTGCCTTTTAAATGACAATTAAACTCATATATTTGAGAAGAAATAAACCAAAGTCAGGTTTTTAAATTTCAAAGAAGAAATCACAAGAACGGGTGTCATGATTCACAGAAGAACTCAGCAATTAGAGTATTTTTTAATTTTTCTGTCAAAAATGCCTTGTATTAGAATAAAAAAGACGTCACAGTAAGCTTAGAAATAAAAATTGTTGTATCTATTACTAATTTTTCTAAAGTCTTTGTTAATTTAAATCTATAATATTAAAGTTTGTTAAATATTATTAAGTTACAAAAAATTACGAGTAGGTTATAATAAATATTAAAAATTATAATTGTCTTTTAACAACCCCGTCATTTGTTATTTAATTTATTTTAATTATATAATAATATGATTTCTTTCTTAAAATTAACCAATTTTATATAATTTTTGATTAAAAAAATATAGAAAGGTTATAGAAAAACATAGCATTTAAAACACGTATTATAAGAATAAAAACTACATACACTACCAAATAAATTGTTATTATATACAAACCATAATTTAAAACAATTTTTTTAACATCCATAGGTTTTTTCGTTAATAATCTACTTGTTTACCAAGCATGAAAATAATCATTTTAACAAAATCGTTACATGAAAGAGACAATCTTTTAACTGGAAAATAAGAATAAACAAAAACTAAATAGTTCAATGCTAGACGCGGTTAACAATATAATAAAATATTATTTGCAGATTTTTAATATCTACTATAAATAAAGGTACATTTAGAGGGCATCATCACATAGAATTTGTTATATTACACTCAAAATCAAGCAAATAATCATTGCTATACGATGTTATTTAAAAAATAATAATTTAAATATTATAGAACACACATTTTTATTATAATAAAATCGAGAATACAGGGTCTAAATAAATAAATTCATACTTTACGTATGCTTATTTATTTAAGCCCTGTATAGAAGTGTAGGAAATATATGGTCAGCCTAGTGCGTAAAAATAAATATTAGTAGTGGTAGTAAACCCATTAAGAACACAGTGTTTCTGTTGGCAGAATTGCATCCGTCATATTCGCAACTGCTGCAGTGGACTAGACTCCTGTCAGTGGCAGCTGCCAAAACGTCACTTGGACATTCTCCAACCTTATGAGACTTTAGTACCATGCGGCATTCTCTGATGTATTTGTTGGGTCTGTTTGGTACTAAAATAAACATGTAATTTAACATCATCGTTTTTAATAAATTTTGATCTTGATATTGCTGATTTCAAATGCAATAAATGTAAATGGGACGTCCATATTAATAGTATATTGTTTTATTAGGAGTAAAAATGACACTTTTTGACACAAAAAGTCATTGTTAGTCCGAATAGAACATGCTATTTTTTTCAAACGCCACAAATAATTTTTTAAACTATTTCGAACGCTTCAAATAATATAAAAAATATACAGGGTTGTTCACCACATACGACATGGAGTATTGTAACTAAACGATTGGATTATTACAAATTGTAAGTTTTGGGTTCGTTGAAGGACTATTAGAGCTACAATTTAGAAATATTTTTACAAGATACAGAGTGTCCCAAATAGGTAGAAAATATTATAGTTATATTTTTTTAAATGGAACACCTTGTATATTTATTATATTTTTGGATTCTACGATTGAAATAAAGGTAAATTTGACTAAGGTTTATCACACTTAAACCTTACCGTTTTTGAAATATTTTCAATTTTATGAAATTGCACTAAAAATTTTAAGGCTTTATTTCTCCAAGGGTATCAAAGTTTTTAATACTAAATATTTACTGAAGATTATTTATTGATCAGATATTTGTTGCTATAATAAAAAATTTACTACCTTATACAGAGTGTTCAAAATTTATATTAAATAATTACTAGCTTTAAACGGCAATAACTTGTTTAATTTAAATGGAACACCCTATATATTTTACATGAATCACATGCACAATGTAATTGTCTATCAAATTGTATTATACCATTTTTTACCTATCTCTTCAAGTTTTTGTAGAAAATGCATTTTCTTATAATTTAGACCTCATTTATCACTATACCCATGAAATATTGACATTTTAGATTATTTTTAAAGATGTAACAAATTTTCAAAGAGTACAGATACTAATATTGTCGATATAGTTCGCTTATTTCATTAAAAAAATAAAAAAGCTGTTTAAATATTTTTTTGTTAACAAGGACCAATTAATATGATCCCAGCATTAAAACTACATTAATTGACTGTTTACGTTGATTAATAATATTTGCTCCAAATACTCAAAAACTGAATTTTGTGTGTGTATTAGACAGTGTGGTAAAAAGTAACACTTTATACATTTTATTTCATCTTTTGACGAATGTTTATTTATAAAAACAGAAACGTTCATCTTCATAACTTATTATTATATTAATTCTGAGCCAAATTCACACACACATTTATTTAGAATACTTTATTAATTAAACTAAAACTAATTTTTGGTCGGAAGTAATGGATATGTATATTTAATTGGTATACTCTTTCACAAAGATTTAAATAGTTTTTTTTTTGTATAGCAATGGGCTTGCAATACATTTTGTACATATATGTTGCTTTAAAAAAATCTGAAACGTCTATATTCCATGGGTATAGTGATAAATGAGGTCTAAATTATAAGAAAATGCATTTTCTACGAAAACTTGAAGAGATGGGTAAAAATGGTATAATACAATTTGATAGACAATTATATTGTGCATCTGATTCACCTAAAATATATAGGGTGTTCTATTTAAATTAAACAAGTTATTGCCGTTTAAAGCTAGTAATTATTTAATATACATTTTTGGACACTCTGTATAAGGTAGTAAAATTTTTATTATTGCAACACAATATCTGATCAATAAATAATCGTCAGTAAATATTTAGTAATAAAAACTTTGATACCCTTGGAGAAATGAATATAGATTTAAAATAAAATAGACATAGATTATTTTTGGGCACACAAATACGCAATTTTGTTTCCATTTAACCGACTTTGTATCTTCAACGGTTTCCAAGAGAGATCCCCATGTACCTCATTTTAAATTGGACACCCTATAGGACCCATACTAAGCGAAAAATTTACAAGTGAAAAAATTGATAAAAAAACTTTTTAAAAACAAGCTTAAAATTAAATGCACTTAAAAGTAGAAAATAAGAATTAAAAGCAAGGGGCGCAAAGTAACGATTTAAACTTCTGTGGATTATTTTTTGAAGTATTAATACACTCAGGGACAAAACACCACTTATTTGAACTCATTTTACTTCTTCAAAACACCAAAACAATGAAAACGTCTACAAAAACAATGCGGCAATTGCACGATCGTACGGACGCCACCGATCGATCAAAGCAGTGACGTCAAAAACAGGTAGCCTCGAGCCGGGTACGTTTTCTAGCCTTGCTGCATTTCTCAATTTTGTTTTGCGTTTATGTGAGAAAATTATAGTAATAAAAAAAATATTTTTTTCAACCTTTTTGAAAGAAAATATTCAAAATACAAGAAATGTCTTTTACTTACTTATATACACTTTCTTTAGGCAAACGTTCTTGTATTGTTCAATGGTGGACGTATGCATGCCTTCACAAGTGAACAGATGAGGCTCTCTTCTGTTCAGCTGATTGGTTCCATAACTTTCGTAGTCGTTCAAGTGAACTCTGTTCTTGAAAATGCGAGTCGTGTTGAAGTGATCGCTGCAAGATGCGTCATAGTCTGACGTACACTTCCAACATTCTAAAGCCAAACAGCCTATGGAGGAAAACCAAAAAATATCAAAAAATGATCTAAAATACGTGTAGCATATTTTACTTCACACATTTAATGTATTTCTTTAAATTATAATTAATTTTTCGGTATGATTGTGTAACTCACGGTAGCTCTTTAAAAAAATACTTAAACAAAAACACCCTGTATAAAGTGTACTTTTTTCTTTAATTAATTTTAGTAATAGAGGGTAGTAGGTATAGTACAGACGTATGTGTTCGGCAAATTTAAATAGCCATTCATTACAAAGGAGTGTCGTGGGCGTTAGTCATTTAGAACGATTAAACTTGTTTAGTACTTGATCTAGAGACTAATTAACTAATTAGCAAAATAACCTTTTCAAAACAAAATATTTTTTATTTCTTTCTCTATACCTTTAGAATCAATATACTTCTTAGGTACCCTAGAAGGTAAAATTTTAAATTAAAAATAGTATGCATTAAATAGTATATTTACGATGTTTATAAAAAATTATAAGATATTCCCCTATACACACAGATGCAAAAAACGCAGCAGAAATATAATAATAAATTATTTAATTGGCTTATTATACAGGGATAATCGAAGAGTTGTTTTTTACCGTAAATTTAAAACACCCTTTTCAACCGAAAAATAATATTTTAGGAAAATTTACAGACGAAATTATTGCGCAGGGTGTTATGGTAAAAAACAATCCTATAATCACAATAATCCTTCGATTAACCCTGTATAATAAGCCAAATACTAAAGTTTATAAAAAGCTAAGTCTACGAATTAAAGTTGATATATTTATAAAGGGTTGTTCACCTCATACGACACGGAGTATTGTAGCTAAACGGTTAGATTTTTACAAATTGTAAGCTTTGGGTTCGTTGAAGGACTATTAGGGCTACAATTTAAAAATATTTTTACAAGATACACTACAGTGTCCCAAATAAATAAACAATATCAAAGTTGTATTTTTTTAAATGGAACACCCTGTATATTATTTTATTTTTAGATTCTACGATTGAAATAAAGGTAAATTTGATTAAGGTTTATCACGCTTAAACCTTACCGTTTTTTAAATATTTTCAATTTTATGAAATTGCAGTAAAAATTTTAAAACTTCATTTCTCCAAGTGTATCGGAATTTTTAATACTAAATATTTACTGAAGTTTATTTATTGATCAGATATTGTATTGCAATAATAAACAAAATACTACCTTATACAGAGTGTCAAATTGTATATTAAATAATTACTAGCTTTAAACGGCAATAACTTGTTTAATTTAAATGGAACACCCTGTATATTTTACGAGAATCAGACGCACAATTTTATTGTCTATCAAATTGTATTATGCCATTTTTACATATCTCTTCAAGTTTTCGTAAAAAATGCATTTTCTAATAATTTAGACCTTATTTATCACTATACTCATAGAATATTGACATTGTGGAGATTATTTTTAAAGATGTAACAAATTTTCAAAAAGCACAGATACTAATATTGTCGATCTAGTTCGCTTATTTCATTAAAAGATAAAAAAAACTAAATATGATCCCAGTATTCAAACTACATTAATTGACTGTTTACGTTGATTAATAATAATTGCTCCAAATACTAAAAAACTGAATTTTGTAGGTGTATTAGACAGATTCGTAAACCGTAAATTTTTTACTGCAATTTTACAAAATTGATAATATTTCAAAAACGGTTTAAGTGTGATAAACCTAAATCAAATTTACCTTTATTTCAATCGTCTAAATCTAAAAATGGAAAAATATACAGGGTGTTCCATTTAAAAAATACCACTATAATATTTTTACTTATTTGGTTAACACTGTGTATCTTGTAAAAATATTTTTAAATTGTATCTCTAATAGTCCTTCAACGAACCCAAAATTTATTGTAAAAATCTAATCGTTTAGCTACAATACTCCGTGTCGTATGTGGTGTACAACCCTGTATACAGTTTGCTAAAAAAATTATGAAAATTGGTCTAGAGTTATATAAATTTCACTAAAAAAAATTCCGTTGCGATTTTTTTTGCGAATACTTAAAAAAAAGAGCTTTTCATGTTTTCTTATTGATAAAAAAAAACATCTACACATACATGTTTAATACTCTGTTAATGTTTTAAAGAGTTTTAAGCTAATATTTAAAACAAGTTTAGAACATGTAATGTTGTTTTAAACAAAATATTTAAAACATAATAACCAATTTTGTATTTAATATTTTAAACCCATTAATTTTGTATAAGTATATAGTGTATAACATTACATTAGTAATTCAGAAGTAACGTCTAATGTAGGAAACTAAATAAAATTTTCTAATAACTTACCAGTTTTTATTAAAGCTAAAACCAACACCAAAACACTGGACACTTTGCCGAAAAACATTTTATTTATTTTTCCAAAAATTCCCTTCGATTCAAAGACACTTTTTGTCCCACCGGTATAGCACAGCGCACCCGAATTCACCCAGAGTTGTTAGCGTCCTGGATGACTCGGGATATGGGCAAGATTGTCCCTGTTGCTTGTTACTCTCCCCCCACCACTGCTATCGACGCCACTGTACACTTGATTGACTCTCCAGAATGGTCGTTTTCAGTGCTGTACTACCGTTAACCTACTATTAAAATTAATCTACTCTTTTCACCTTTTTTGCAAGGTTTTTAACACAAATTTTACGGTTATATGGTTCCAGCAGCTATAATAGATTTGTTTTTAATCAGATTTGGTTTGCTTTCAGCAGAAAACGTTAATTCAAGAACTTCTTCAATGACAGATTCAGGAAGGAAACAATGAAGGAAAAGGAACAAGTACATTCAAGGGAAATTAGACATTTTTGTGACCTTTATCGTCCATTTTATTTGTTGTTCGTAGAAGAAAGGGTATAGCCGGATTAATGTGGGAAATCTGGCTCCGCGGCTTTTTTGACTCGCACTCAAGGGATCGATTTGGTGTCGAATCAGAATAATTCCTCTCAAAAATGAAATATTTTGACATTGCAACACTTCAGATTTTTTAATTATATATATATATATATATATATATATATATATATATATATATATATATATATATATATATATATATATATATATATATATAAACAGGATTTGGTTTAAGTATTTAATACTCATTTCCAACTACAGCCTATTGCTGCCTTCCCGTTACCCTACGCCACACATCTCGATTTAGAGCGTCATCAGCTTCTAGGTTACGAGCTTCCATTGCTTCGGTAACCGTTCCGTTCCAGGATTTTCTAGGTCTACCTCTCTTTCTTCTGCCCTGGGGAGCCCATTGAAAAACTCTTTTTGGCCACCTGTTCTCCGGCATACGCAGAACATGTCCAAACCATTTTAAGCTGGATTTTTCGATTCGATCCAGTACTGTCTCCTCCGATGCATTCATGATACGCCTGACCTCGATGTTTGTCTTTTTTTCCATCCTAGATATACCTGCACTTCTTCTAAGGTAGTCCATTTCAACAACTTGGATTTTGCGCTTCGCGTCTGCACTCAGAGTCCATAGCTCTCAACCATAGCAAAGAACTGACTCCACCAATGTTCTTCCAAGTCTCTTTTTAGTTGTTGCAGATAAGTTTCGGTCCCACCAGAGGCTGTTAAGATATCCAATAACTTGTTTGCTCTTCTGAATTCGGGTTTGTATTTCTTCTTTGCCCAAACCCTCGTTGTTGATAGTAGCACCCAGGTATTTAAATTTGTCTACTTGTTGAATCTGGACGTTATCATTAATGAAGACTTCAAAACGAGCGTTGGAATTGACAGTTAAGTATTCGGTCTTCTTTAGACTAACCTGAAGTCCCCATTTGTTGTATTCTTGATAAAGCCTCTTAGTCATGAACTCTAGATCGTATGAGTCCTGCGCAATCACGACCTGATCGTCTGCAAAGCTCAGGGTAAATAGTGTGTTGTCCCCAATGGGTATTCCCATACCTTGACATTTCGTCTTCCATTCCCTAAGGGCTACTTCGACGTAAACGTTGAAGATCAGAGGAGATAAGCTGCATCCTTGTCGCAACCCTTTTGTGGTGTTAATTGTATTAGATAGCCTGTGTCCTACCTTAACGTACGATTCATTTTCTTTATATAGCTCTTTTATTATCTTAAGCAAAGGTCTATCTACTTCTAAGATATTCAAGACTTCTCATATCTTGCTGCGGGGAATAGAGTCGTACGCTTTCTCCAAATCAATAAATGCTAGATGGACTTCTTGATCTACTGCTATCTTTTTTTCCATCACCTGCTGCAGGACAAAAAGGTTATCTGTGCAAGATTTCCCCGGTGTGAATCCGCTTTGGTCTTCCGAGATTTTGTCACCAATACTGTCCCTGAGCCTACCCTGTAGCACCTTTCCAAAAGTCTGCTGACCGAACTGTTAATGCTTAGGCCTCTATAACAAGTGGGGTCGTTACGATTTCCCTTTTTAAAGATGGACACTATGTGAGCCACTCGCCATTCTCGGGGTAGTTTACTTTGCAGGCAGCACTGGTTAAATAGCTCTGCCAGACGCCAGCGCAGTCTTTGGGTTCCACACTTTAACAATTCCGCTACAATATTACTAGGACCTGGTGACCGTCCATTTTTCATTCTTTTGAGACTTTGATGTACTTCTCTTTCGCTTATCATTAAAGTGCCTGCAAGGTTGTTCTCATCTTCTACTACTTGGAATTCTGGTCGGTTTTCTGTCAGTAATTCTGCATAGTAGTTGCGCCATTTTTCTATATCCATTCATATCCATTCTATTTTTTAATTGAAACTCATAAAGATTATGATGCTTGATTGTTCGAATTAAAGAACATAAAGATTATTTAAGAAAGGGAGATTTTCACAAATCTAAGACTTGTCAGCATTCATGGAACACTGGGCACAGAATAAATTTTAATAAAGCCAAAATTATAATGAAAGAAGCGATAGCCTCTAAAAGAAAAATAAAAGAGGCTTTTTTAATACAATCTAATAAAAATAAATGTATTTCTCATGCATCTGTAGATGTTAGTAAAGTATGGCAATCGAGCTTTTTTGATTTTAAAGAACATAACATACGTAAAAATTAAAAATAATCATGCAGAAAGTTTGGGGCTTTTTGGTTGGTTAGGTACTTCAGACATTATTTGGAAAAATCTAAATAAAAATGAAACTTCGACACCCTGTATCTCCTAATCGAAGCATTTTAGGACCTAAATTGATACAAACTTTTATACTTATTTTTTCATCCTATATATTAAAAAAAGATCAATATGAATTAATTAAATGAAATTCATATTTTTATATAGGCTCTAACGTTCTTGTTCTTTTTTACGAAATAAATTTGAGAATTCATTTCCTCATCGCAAATAAAAGAAGATCTGTGTTAAGGGTACATTACAACCCCCATAGAACGGTTCCCTTATTATTTTATGGGGTTTTTACCCTCTGAATTAGAATTTACGATATATAAGGGTGGCGGCATATCAGAGTCGTACAAAATAAGTTGAATTCGATAGATCTTTAAAAGATATGTGTAAAAAAGTAATGTGGGAATATTTTCATGGACATATTAAATCAATATAAAACTCTATTAGGGATTTATATTAATAAAAAAAAATTGTCAGCATTCATGGAACACAGGCAATAAGCATGAGAAGTCTGATGATTATGATTCTCCAAAAAAATATGAATCCAGCCAAAAAAATGTGAATTCATAGGGTTAAAATCTTATTTTACATACTGGCAGTTTAATTTTAGCAAATATTTTGATAGCAATTAAGAAAGTATTGATTGAAACTGTCTATTTAACTACTTAATTATTAATAATCAATGTCAAGCTAATTGGACATCTAAAAATATTATGTTGTTAGAGTAACCTGGTTTTGATGTAAATAGCTGTAAACAATGTTTTTGATTTTGATTTTCCTAATATGCATTATAGTTGTTATTGTGTATAATATATTACTTACATAGATATAGTTGTCAAAATATTAAAAATTTCCATATTTTCTCACACTACCTACTATTTTTATAGTTTTTTAATACTTTTAACTATTTTATTATATTTAAAATTTAAAGTTTTTTATACAAAACATACTGTACTTTATTTACGGGAATAATAAAAAAGTATTATATTATAATTAGTATTGACGTTCTGAATGCTTACATTGTAATTAAAGGAACAAACTTCTACGTTAATTGAAACCACTAATTTATTTCACTAATTGCGAGGTTCTGAATAAAGCTTTAAACAAAAAAAACTTATTTTTTTTATTATTTCTGTCGAATTTTGTAATAGGACAAAGTCTGTCCAGTAAGAGAACAAGACATTCAAAGCTATCAAATTGGTATTAAAATATGCACAAACATAGAATCACGAAAAACAGGCTGAAACCAAAGCAATCAAAACACATTCGTACAAATCCTTGTTACTACTAACTTTTTAAAATCTACGAGTAGATTGATGCCGTGATGCTTTTTGGAATTACATATCGACAAATATTTTAATTTTGGTGCTTTTGTTTTGTTATTGTTTTCTTGTAATTTTAAGAAGAGTGAATCAGCTTAAATATGGAGGTATTTAGTATTCTCCTCTAAAGTTTAATTTACTCCAACTTATTCTGCTCCTACAAAATGCCAGCACAATACAGCAAATCACTTTGAGCAATATCAGCAGATGAAACTAGTTTTAATCCTGTGTTTTGGTGTATTATGGTGAATTACTGTTTTATTTTACCACAATCTAACCAAAATTGTAGCTGTTAAAACAACGCAAGGAACTTCACAATGTGGAGTAACCTCCCCTTTGCTGTGGAGCTTGGTAGTGGATGAACTACTAGACGAATTAACTCTAGCGGAATACACTGCACTAGGTATGCAGATGACATAGTTATGATCACTCGGGGGAAACATAAAGTCACCCTGTGTGATATTATCCAAAGAGGACTCCGTATCACTGAGAGATGGTGCAGGACTGTCGGGCTGAGTATCAACTCAGACAAAACCGCGATAGTGCCATTCACCAGAGAGCGAAGTCTGAAAAACTTGGAAAGAATCTGTTTACTACTGCCATCTGTTTACTAGCGTTTGCATCACAGGAGCCATGAGAATCCAACAGCAGCAATGGAGGTCATTCTAGATCTAACACCACTGCACATTGTCATTGGTAGATATGCCAATGACTAATCAATTCAATGGTCAATACCGGAATCAGTACTGGGTGAATTGTCAGATAAGGAGCTTGGAACACCCTCAAAAAGGAAATACCTCTCCTGCAACTCCCAGTGGATGATATGCCAAGAGTGTACAACTTTGAGAAACATCTCAATGTAGTATTGAGCAATAAAAAGGATTGGAAGAGAGAAACGCCTGCCCAGCAGTTAAAAGACCATACCATAACTTGGTATACTGATGCTTCCAAAACCGTTCTTCCAAAATGCGAGAACTGGGATCGGAGTATTTGGGTCGAGAACTAAATACTCCGAACCAATGGGCACCTACCCTAGCATCATACAGGCAGACATCTACGCTATCGAAAGATGCGTACAACTTATCTTAGATAGGAACTATCGGAAACAAGAAATAGCCTTATCTGATAGTCAAGCAGCGTTAAAAGCGATCAATTCCTTATCAATCAATTCGAAATTGGTCAAAGAATGCATAGAGAAGCTGAATAAATTAGGCAAAGAAAACAAAGTCCCCCTACTCTGGGTGCCTGCTCACCAAGGGATAGAAGGCAATGAAAAAGCAAATGATCTAGCTAGAAAAGGAGCGAACGCTCCACTAACTGGACCAGAACCGTTCTGCTTTCCAAGTGGTAACCAACTCAAGGCAGAACTCAAGAACTTGGAAGACTCCATGGGAATCTAGCAACGGTCTAAGACACTCGAAGAAGTTTCTGAGGGCTTACGATCAAGAGAAATCAAAGATCTTCCTGGATTTAAGTAAGAACAATCTTCGGATTGTCACGGGGTTTTTAACAGGACACTGTCTCCCTAATGAACACCTCAGTAGATTGAAACTAAGAAGAAACGAAGATTCTGTGGGGAAAATGGGGAAACAACAAGTACACCTCATCACTGAGTGCGCCGATACGACAACCATTCGTGCCATGAACTTTGGTACGACTGATATTGGAGATGGAGAACTACCCTCTATAAAACCGTCACAGATACTGGCTTTTGTCAAAGCCCTGGGACTGTATGATGAGTTATAACTCAAGAAAGGGGGACACAATAGATCTGTAAAAAAGTTAACATTTATATTTAATTATAATAATTATCAATTGACTAATCAAATCCAGAATTATATAGGATAATATTAGGATGTCTAGTTATATTTAAATATAAACCTATCCTTATATATTACTGTTTATATTTTCGTGACTCTTTCCCATAATATCCTAAAAGTATTTTATTAATTAAATTTTGAATAGCCAAATAACATGATACAATTCTATCTGCTTCTAACTGTAGTATGTTTTTATTTGATTTGATTAATTTTAAAACACTCCTAAACTATTTTTTATATGTAAAGTAGAATAAGAAACAATATTTTTCTATTAATATATTTATTGTTGCTTAAACATCGACCTTACAAAAAGCTGACAAAATTTATTAAAATAAATGTGCCCTATTTGAATGGCTTTAATTTAAAGACATTAATACACTTATCTCTCAAATAAAAATTAGTGCTCTCACTCCACATTTAACATTTTTAACAAAATAATAAAGTATACTTATTCAAAACAAAATAAATTAAATCGTATTCTTAACATTTATATAGAAAAATAGACAACATCGATATTTACATACATCAATCACACACTTATTAACTATTTTAAGTATTACTGGTTGCCGGACCTAACGGAGTAGGTGAAGCAAGCAGGCCATGGCTGCTCCCAAGACAGTGACGTAACCGAAACGGGTTACGGGGGCGGAGTTACATAAGTTGCTGTCACAAACGTCACATGTGGTGACGGTACCGCCTTGTATTGGTGAGTTGCAGGGGTACTGCAGTTTGCCGCTGGCGTCCTTTTCGGCAATGATGCATTTCCTGATGGTTTTGGCGTTTTTGTTCAAATCTAAAGTATATAAATGAAATTAATAAGACTACAGTAAAAAATATAATCAAATAATGCATTTAAAAGAAATGGAATACCATTATCGTCATTATGACTTCTTCGTGAGTTTCACGAAGAAGACTCATGATGATAGTGATTACATTTTTCAATATTAAGAATTATTATTTCCACTATCTATTGGCTTTGGAGACAGGTTGCAGAAAAAAGTCTGTTCTAGGCAATGACTAAAGAATTCAAGGACAAATAACACCCCAGACCAAATTGTTACCATGGCACCAATCAGTGCCGTGGCCATATATTTTTCTTAACTTAGCTGTTTGAAGGGATATTTATATTGTTGATAAATGTTTTGACTATGCCTATGGTGTAGACGGTGGTATCATACTAATTAATTACGGAAAAAAATGTATTCAAATGTTAACAAAAGGTACAAAACTAGTATCGGCGTACAGCACACATCAAGTACATACTATATCAGAAAAATAATTATCGAATTCAATAAGAAAACTAAGAAAACGCTAAAAAGGTGGAACGGACTGTTTATTCACCTATGAAACGTAACTTCTGGCTCTTTCTTATCGCTGCTGCCTTTACATTTGAAAGCTGAACAATTAATCACCATTGTAATAAGGTTTATACAAAGTTCACTACACATAAACTATTAAAAATCGCTAAAATTGTCGCTGGTGACCAGCTGATGACTCATTCGTTGCCATCAAAAGAATGCCGTCTAAGGTCATAAATTCTGCTGCAGCCCGTATATGGGCGTTACATGTTCTTATATTCTTTAGTCATTGGTTCTAGGAGTACGAAATTTTGCACAGAGGTCTCTTAAGCGGCGTAATTGAACATTAAGAAGCGATTTTCGGAAATTCAACCTTTAGGGGTGTAAAATTATCGAAACTAGGGGTGGAAGTTTGTAGATTTTTTTTTAATTTGTCGATAAGTTTAAGATATCCTTAAGTGACGAAAGTCGATACTCGATTTTTGGAAATTTATCCCCTACCAGGGTAAAGTTAGGGGTGAAAGTTTGTACAAAAATTTGTTAAAATCGCTTCTGAAAGTATCAAATTTTGCACAGAGGTTTCTTGGGTGACATAATTGAGCACTGAGGAGCGATTGCTGGAAATTCACACCATAAGGGGGTAAAACTGGTGGTGAAATTTTGTATATATTTTTTAAAATTAGTCCAAGGAGTATTTTGTATAGAAGTTTCTTCAGTAGCAAAAGTGAGTACATAGAAGCGATTTTTTTAGAAACTCACCTACTAAGAGGGTAAAATAAGGGGTGAAAGTTGTCTCAAAAATTTGTTAAAATTGGTTTTAGAAGTATGAAATTTTACGTTAAAATTTAGCGGTGAAATTTTGTACAAGAGAACTCGTCAGAGGTTTTACATTTTGAATATTATTTGTACAAAAAATTGTAATGGTTCTAGGAGTATCAAAATTAAATGAAAGACGTGGGTACTAAGAATCTATTTTTAAAAATATGTCCCTTAAGCAGGTGAAATTAGACACAAAGGTTGACAGCAGTTGACAAAAATGACAGCAGTCCCAAAATCAGTAAAAAGTAATCATAGTAATCAAAGTAACGAATATTTGAAATTATTACTTAGTACTCGAGTAACGATTAATAACGAGTAATCAAAAGTAACGAAAATCAACATCACTGCTCTGGACCAAGATAGGATTTTGATGATCCTTACCTGACGATAATAATGATGATGTTAATAGTGAAAATAGTGATAATGATGATAAAGATAATAGTGATAGTAATGATGATACTAATAAAAATGATGATAATTACAATGATAATGATATACTTTATAAGGCTGTAGGTATTCCGTTGCAAAACCAGGTTAACCAGCTTGGTAAACTATGGTAAAGATCGGTTCCTGACAAATTTCAGTTAAACGATGAACTGTTTAGTAAAATAGCAAAAACGTCAAAAGATGGCGATTTTTAAATTCCAATATTTTGATTATACAGGGTGACAATTTGAAAACAAACAGTATTTAATATTACCTCTACCGATGATAGTATGAAAATTTGGCGAAATACGTCAATTTACATATCAAGGGGAACAATTTTTGAGGCATTTGTTGTCGCGTTACTTTCAACCCTTTGACCCCCAGGGCACCTACCCCTTAAACTTTAAATGGCAACCCCTATTTCTTTTACCATTTTTGTGTTCCTTATAAAATTCTCAAAAAAATAATGCAGTTTATGTAGTAATCTTATAAGGAATACAAAAATGGTAAAATAAATATAAATTAAAATTTTAGGAGTAGGTGTCCTGGGGCCCAAGGGGTTGAAAGTAATACGACAACAATGCCTCAAAAATTGTCCCCCTTGATATGTAAATTGACGTGTTTCGCCAAATTTTCATACTATCATCGGTAGAGGCAATATTAAATACTGTTCGTTTTGAAATTGTCACTCTGTTGAATACTTATTTCATGCTTGATTCATTTTTTCAATAGACTTTAATATTGAAAATTACTTTGCCAGTTCAAATTTTTTGCAGCGATACGTATGATATTAAATGAGAGATGAGTGACATATAAACCAGAAAATCCAGCCTTCAGACAAAATTTCAGGCAACATAGCATATAAACAGTGCAGAAAACTACGTATAAGCAGCATTAGAAATGGAAAACAGCTCTTAGTAATATTTCTTACCCGTGTAACCCAATTTAAGGCAAGCCCCAACATGTTTCTTGTCCGCAGGATTTAGAGTTCCCCCACAGTTTGCTACTTTTTGCCAGTTGCCGGCTGGTTCTGTACACTTTTCGTCCAAGCAAGAATAGCACTCCAACTGGGCGGTAGCTGAAACAAAGAATATTTAAACAAAACCACTAGTAAACACAATCTAAATTCATTTTATATAAAATACAAGTAAGTACGAGTAATCAAAGTCACAGATTTCTTTCATGTAGAAATTTATTTCAATAGGAGAAAAATTAAAAAAAAATTAATATAATATTTTTTTTCACGAATAAGCCGAATATTGACGTAAGTTTAGAAATTATTTGGAATAAATCGAAATAAAAATGAAACTACTACACCCTGTATCTCCGAAATGAAGCATTTTAGGACATAAATGTACACGAACTTTTTTACTTATTATTTTCTGCAGAATGCGCTGCCAAAGTTTCCCGAACTCAATTTGGTCCACCCTGTATGTTTATTAATCTTCTTAACCTCTCTGTATTCAATCAACTTCTCTAGACATGCTCTAGACAGTGAGTGTGACTAAATTGATTTTATTGACCCCCGTAACACAAAATTTAATTGTCTCTAATATGATACTGTATTTATAATAACCTAGATCAACTTTCTTAGCATTAATATATACAGGGTTGTTCACCACATACGACACGGAGTATTGTAGCTAAACGATGAGATTTTTACAAATTGTAAGTTTTGGGTTCGATGAAGGACTATTAGAGGTACAATTTAAAAATAATTTTACAAGATACAGAGTGTCCCAAATAAGTAAAAAATATCAAAGTTGTATTTTTTAAACGGAACACCCTGTATATTATTTCATTTTTAGTTTCTACGATTAAAATAAAGGTAAATTTGATTAAGGTTTATTATACTTAAACCTTACCGTTTTTGAAATATTTTCAATTTTGGGAAATTGCAGTAAAAATTTCAAGGCTTCATTTCTCCAAGGGTATCAAAGTTTTTAATACTAAATATTTACTGAAGTTTATTTATTGATCAGTTATTTTGTTGCAATAATAAAAATAATACTACCTTACACAGAGTGCCTAAAAATTTATTTTAAATAATTATTAGCTTCAAACGGCAATAATTTGTTTAATTTAAACGGAACACCCTGTATATTTTACGAGAATCAGATGCACAATTTAATTGTCTATCAAATTATATTATACCATTTTTTACCTATCTCTTTAAGTTTCCGTAGAAAATGCATTTTCTTGTAATTTAGAACTTATTTATCAATATACCCATGGAATATTGACATTTTAGATTATTTTTAAAGATGTACCAAATTTTTAAAGAGTACAGATACTAATATTGTCGATATAATTTGTTTATTTTATTAAAAAAGAAAAAAACTGTTTAAATATTTGTTAAAGGGGACCAATTAATATGATTCCAGTATTCAAACTACATTAACTGACTGTTTGCGTTGATTAATAATAATTGCTCCAAATACTAAAAAATTGAATTTTGTATGGGTATTAGACAGTGTGATAAAAAGAAACACCTTAAAAATGATATTTCATTTTTTAATAAATACTTATTTATAACAACAGAGACTTTAATTTGATAACTTATTATTATATTGATTTCTGACTCAAATCCACATTTATTTAGAATAATTTATTAACGAACACAATTAAATATGTAATTAATTAGTATATGGGCGGAAATAATGGTGTTATATTTAATTAATGGTATACTCTTTTATAAAGATTTAAATAGTTTTCTTTTTGCATACAAATGGGTTTAATTATCGTTTTGCTAAAAACGATAATATTACTAGCCTGTACATTTTGTACATTTGTTGCTTTAAAAACAATCTAAAATGTCAATATTCCATGGGTATATTGATAAATAGGGTCTAAATTATAAGAAAATGCATTTTCTACGAAAACTTGAAGGGATAGGTAAAAATGGTATAATACAATTTGATAGACAATTAAATTGTGCATCTGATTCTCCTAAAATATACAGCGCGTTCCATTTAAATTAAAGAAGTTATTGGCGTTTAAAGCTAGAAATTATTTAAAATAAATTTTTAGACACTCTGTATAAGGTAGTATAATTTTTATTATTGCAACACAATAACTGATCAATAAATAAACTTTAGTAAATATTTAGTATTAAAAACTTTGATACCCTTGGAGAAATGAAGCCTTGAAATTTTTACTGCAATTTCCCAAAATTGAAAATATTTCAAAAACGGTAAGGTTTAAGTATAATAAACCTTAATCAAATTTACCTTTATTTTAATCGTAGAAACTAAAAATGTCATAATATACAGGGTGTTCCATTTAAAAAAAAACACAACTTTGATATTTTTTACTTATTTGGGACACTCTGTATCTTGTCAAATTATTTTTACATTGTACCTCTAATAGTCCTTCATCGAACCCAAAACTTGAAATTGGTAAAAATATAATCGTTTAGCTACAATACTCCGTGTCGTATGTGGTGAACAACCCTGTATAATAGAATAGCTCTAAAAGCCTAAAAGGCTCATGGCTTAATTGGTTATTTTTCTCCATTTGTTTCTGTCTTTCGCTTTTATTCTCCACCCATCCAGTCTTATCCTTCTCAAGTCCTCTTCTACATCCTTTTTCCATCTGGTTTTCGGTCTGCCCCTTTCTTCTCTTTCCAAATATTCCACGTTTCATTATCGAACTAGGAATTCTTGCTTCAGCCATTCTTTCAATGTGTCCCAGCCATCTCAGTCTTTGTGCTCTTGCTACTCCCGTTATACAGTTGCTTTAATTCTTTATTTGTTCTTCTGGTCCATATTTTGTCTGTCTTCTTTCTTCCAAAAATCTTCCTCACTATTTTTCTTTCCCAAATCTCTAGCCTCGAACTGTCCTTTGCATTGAACGTCCACGTTTCACATGCATACAGCACTATTATTGGTCGTATCATTGTTTGGTACATTCTGTTTTTTAAACTTCTAGAGATGTTCTTACTCTTAATAATTTTCTGTAGTGTGCTGACACATCTATTTCCTGCCATTATTCTTGCGATAATTTCATGAGTTACATTTGGTTTCCTTAAAAATATGTGAATATGGAATGTATCTACTTCCTCAAACTTGTATCGTTTCCCTCTCCCAAACCAAACCAAAATCCCTATCTGACCACTCCATAAATTTCGTTTTCTTCTCATTAAACACTAAGGCCCGTATTTATAGTTGCGTCTCGAGACGCCAAGACGGTCTTGGGCTCTTGAGAGCGGAATCCACAGAATACACGAGCAAACGTCATTTTGGAGATTGCGATTTTCATTTTGGAGATTGTCTTTTTGGATAGTTTATATGATCTGTGGATAGTTTCTTAGCCTAATTTTTTTAGTAAACAAAGTAAATCCGTTTTGTCTGATTAAACAGTTTTGAATATGTTAGAAGAGTTTGAGGATATTTTGGACCATGTGGAAGAAGAAAATCGTCTTCGAGTTCTAAAAAGATATATACGGGATGCAGGAAATCCAATAGAAATATTTAGCGAGGGGGGATTTATGCCGACATTGGTTTAACAAGGCTACAATTACAGAAACTATTTTACCTCTTATAAATTGAAGACTTGCAAAAACCTACCAATCGTGGTTTGGCAAAGATTTGGTCGTTGGTTCAGACAAAACGGATTTACAAGGGATTTATTTTGTTTACTAAAAAAGTTAGGTTAAGAAAGTATCCACAGATCACATAAACTATCCAAAATGACAATCTCCAAAATGAAAATCGCAATCTCCAAAATGACGTTTGCTCGTGTATTCTGTGGATTCCGCTCTCAAGAGCCCAAGACCGTCTTGGCGTCTCGAGACGCAACTATAAATACGGGCCTAAGCCTACTTTTTGCGCTTGATTTTCTAGTCTTTTGGTCACCGATATCAGCTCTTTCCGATCTCTTGCTAAGATAACTAAATCATCTGCAAAGGCTAAGCATTGGTGTCTTTTTGTATACAGAAGGCCCTCTCTGTTGATTCCCGCATCTTTTATAACTTTTTCTAGTACCACACTAAACAGTACTGGAGATAGTGGGCCCCCCTGTCTTAATCCGTCCCTGATTATAAATTTTTCCGTTATTTTCTTGTTTACTTTGACTTCATTAACTGTCTCTTGGAGTATCAATTTTATCATCTTGGTCGGTTCTTAGCATTAATACTATTAATATATTTATTTATCTCTAACAATTGTAAGTTTTAGATTAACCATTTTCGAGAGGCGTTGTTCAAAAAAAAATGAGTATATTATTAAAGGAAATACAATCTCTATATACACCATATGGTTTCCACGTATGGTTTCAAAGAGGACTAGATAATACCAGATAGCGTTACACCAAGAATATAATTATCTAAAATAAATGACAAGCAAGTTAGCATCAATAAAACTTAACACACGAACATTGGAGGTCAACAAGACGTGATATTGAAGGATGAACATATGTTCTTTACAAATTAAATTTTATGTACATTCATATAGATCGGCTGAAATTATGAAATTTAAAAATATTCCTGTTTTTAAATTTCTAGATTCTTGTAAAATAGTTTTCTACCAGAATATACTACAGTGCATGGTATATACAGGGTGAATAAACAACCAATGGTGAGGCCACAAATTTTAAGATAATTTTATATAGTAAAGGATATAACTTATATAACATATAATAATAGTATAGGTATATGTTATCTGTGGATATAATTTAAAATAAGTAGACAGACTGCGTAACAGTTGACAACAGCGCTTATCTGTAAATAAATTAAAGGGATACAGCAGGTGTTATACATTTTTATTCACCCCATCTTGCCATAGACCCTGAGTCACCCTTTCACCCTATACCCGAACCTTTGCCATCGCGTGCCTACGAAAAAAAAATTTTTGAAATATTTTCAATTTTGTGAAATCGCAGTAAAAAAGTTAAGGCTTTATTTCTCCAAGTATATCAAAGGTTTTAATACTAAACATTTACTGAAGATGATTTATTGATCAGATATTTTGTTGCAATAATAAAAATTATATTACCTTATACAGAGTCTCCAAAAATTTATATTAAATAATTACTAGCTTTAAACGGCAATAACTTGTTTAATTTAAATGGAACATCCAA